TGCAGTGGCATATGTCCGAGATGGAGTAGGGAACAATAGCTTCCGAGCCTCTGGTCTTCAAATGCTGTACCTCTTTCTCCTCCACCCACTTAGGGCAAGACCTAAAGTAAGGGGGGGTGGGAACCACTACAATTAACACAGTGCAGTTCCAGTTTACATTCATAGGTGTCGTGGTCCTTGCCACCACAACGAGCACACGTCATAGAACCATGACAAGATGTCATTGAATGATCGAATCGCTGGCACTGAAAACATCGGAGAGGGTTGGGAATATAGGGTCGTACCTTACATTTCAAATAACCTGCCTTAACAGAGGCCGGTAGACGTGGTGATGAAAATGTCAAAATAAGAACTGTGGTCTGCACCATAATACCATCCTGACGAGTGGAGATCCATTGAACAGCTGAAACTCCTTAGCTGGAGAGACCAGCAAGGATCTTAATGCACAAGTATGAATAGAGCCATTCTTTATTTCAACATATTTTGAAAAGTAAATACGCAACATGTTGGATATACAAGACTGTTTAGTTTATATAGTGATTTAATATTTAATGATTATTTAATTTTCATAACAAAAGTGTTAAAAGTTAATTATTTTAAAAGTAATAGTTATTACAAGTTGGTCAAGTAACTCTGTATGAGTAGAACATTGTGTATGCAGTTTGACTGTTGTATTAGGGTTTAGTAATATTGTTGATGTCATCTTACTTGAAGCTTCCAAGTTTTTCTATTTATGTGTAATATTGTTGCTTCTAGAGGGCTAGATAGTTCTAGATTTTTCTATCGAGTGTTACAAATATGTGCAGATACAACAAGTTAAGGAAGATATAAAAAAGTTAGTTAGTGAAAGAAAACGTGAAGTTAGCCGGTGTGTGAATGATTAACCTTAACGGGTGATTTCTGTAGTGTGTTTCACATTTGTATTGTAACAACAGAGACAGTAAAAATAAAGTAATCGAAACAGCCTGTGTGGACTTTTGACAAGAAAAGAGAATTAATTAGAGTTTTAGATATAATTATGATATCCTATCATGTGAAGAATTTTTGTATACAAGTTTGACTTGTTTTGAATATATATTATTTTAAAACAAGTGTATTGTGTGCTGTCCATTTATCGTTCAATTTTATTGCCAACAAGTCATAGCCACCTACTATAAAAGAATCCCATCCCATATTAAAAACTTGACACAATGAATTTGACTAGAATTAATTTTTACAACTTTTAATACAAGTGCAACAGTTGCAACCTTTTACAGAGTTACATTCAAAATTTATTTAAACTACTTCATTATCAATGTATACGAATAAGCTTGGTATCAAAACATAGTTAATAAATCAAATTTTAATATAAGTTTTAAGTTCTTAATTTTATAAGAAAATATTAAAAAAAAAACTCAAACCTTCCCTAGAATGAGAATTGTGATGTTTGCCCTCTAGGCCTTCCCTCTTTAATTTATTTATCATCCCTGCCAGAAGTAAAGAATTTAACATAAATTGCTCATTATAGAATAGAAAATAATAGATAAATTATTAAGTTTTTCTGGAAAAAAAACACTTGGTATTTATTCAGAAGGTTTTAGGGATTATGCAAATAAAATTTGAAAATTTTCAGAGGAAAAAAAGTATTTTTAATCTTAACATATAATTACAGGCAAAGTTTTAGTAAAATTACTTAAATAAAAATTCTGATTTTTCGTTTTTGGTATTTGTATCTTAAGGTTTCTATTTTTGAATTGGATCATAGTTTGTTTGTTTTTTGCTGATAGCTGTTGATTTTCTTTGATGGGGATTAATAATGACTACGATATTTTGTATTGGGTAATACATATCTATTCCATATGAAGGATTAACTACACTTTATAACAACAATCTGCATATGCTAATGCTGTGGGGTACTGTTCCACATGGGTTCTATAGCATCACATTTAGAATCTATATATTTTTGGCTCATGACAAATATATTACTATTTTAATTCAATGCCACCATGGGTGAATTTATGGATGGAGGAATGTATCACAACCCATTTGAAGAAAACATATCCATATAGCAAAATGGCTGAGAATCAAAGCTGAGAGCACATAAATTTCAAAGACAACTTTCTGTAACATAGAAAATAGCAATATCAGAGGAGAAAGCAGCACAAATACAGAAAAATGGAAAAATTCATCTGTACAATATCCATCATATGCATGGCTATAGCCATCAGAGTTTGGAAACTGGTCATCCAAGAATTGTACTTGCAATTACTAATATGATAGCTGAGTAGCTGTTAAAGTCCCACTTTCTTCTTCTTTTTTATATATGTATTTTTGTATTTTAAGTTATCTGTTTTAAATTTACCTACTACAGTTAAACTACTAGGCATAATATGGTTCCCATCAGCCACTGTGCTTGAACAAAAATATATATCTTTGCTATCTTGTGTCTTTTTTTTAAATATCCTGTCAAATACATTACTTGCCTTAATTATTTCTTGTATACTACTGCAGGGATTATGTATTTTTTGGTTTATGTAATCACTTCATAACCAAATTCCACAAGAAAACATTATATACGTTGAAGTAACTTTTTAAAACATTTTATGCATTTTTAACTCCTGATGCAGATACTCGTAAATTTGGTGGCTGTCATAATTTGTTCCAAAAATGTAATATCAGTATTACGTGTAAACTAGTATTTCTTACACAGAGATATTTCACATTGTTTTAATGATATCTTTTTTTTCTTTGTTTACTACTTCACATGAATGTCTGTTACATTTAAAAAAAAATTAACCTTTTTTCTAACATATGACATGAACACACCAACTGTTAAATATTTGTAACACTTTTAGGATGGTGTTTGAATATGGAAATTTTACAGCATTTAAGTTTACATATAACTGTTAGCTTTCACAGATGTGTTTTGACAGATATCTTTGAGATATATTGAGCAATCAAGTAGGACATTCACGATGTTCAAAAGAAATATACTTCAATATGAAGCATTTCTCTCTGATAGACACTTGAAGAATTCATCCACTTATGTTTCAAATTTTAAATACCTTGAGTTTAAATTCGTTTAAGCAAACTAAACTAAGAAAAATGTTAAAAATTGACTTACTGCAGTCTGCTTTCTCATCATCACCATCATTACAGTCAAGGTGACCATCACATCTCCATATTGATGGTATGCAGTCTCCATTAAGACAAGCAAACTGATTTGGCTTACATCTGTATTCTGAGTTAAAAACAAACTACATAAATATATTCTATTTACACATTATTTTTTAAGAAACAAACCTATTATTAAAAACACATGCAGTTAAGTAGGGGGACCTATACAACATACAGGATAATAATCAAATTGTAGTTGGATATAGATAAAATATGAACATAATATTAAAATGTTAAAATTCAAAGTACTTGCATAAACATAAATAATTAAAATATTCAAACAAAATTTTTAAGCACACAACTTAAAAACACTATTCTGAGATTGTCAACAGTCTCAAAATACTTTACATATTTCGACATCCAATCAAAAACAGTGCAAGCCATATATATATACAAAAGCCATTAGCCATGTAACTATTTAATTTACATACTGTACTTACAGAAGATCATGTCATCTGCATACTTTATGACTTGTTAACCCTTTATCCTTATTCAAGATACGACAATTATTTTTTAGTGTGTTTCATTATTTCTTCAGATTCTCTGATATTTCTAGCAATCATATCATTCGATTGAGCCAAAATAGCCGTTTTTTTGTCACTGAATGATATGACCAATGTGACTTGCATGTTCAGCTAGTGCAGAATTTTAACTTATGTTTTACTTTCTAAATTTCTTTTAGTTAGACCAATGTTTACCCAACCGCATAAACATTCAATTTTGTAATTACCCGTTTTCTCCATTACATTACTTACATCTTCAGTTTTATTTAATATCTGACTAATTTTATTCACAGGTCTATAAATCAGAATAAGGTTTTTATTTTGTATATTAAAACTAAAAAATAATTTACATGACAAATCTGACACATTTGGTAAAAACAACATTTGAAATCATATATTTTATCAAATGTTGACTTTAGCTTGCTTTCTTGATCATCATTTGTAATTTTACTAAATTTTCTCACGGATCTATCAACAATATTTGGTGAAAAACCTCTATCTAATACAAAGTATTTAATTAATAACAGTTCATTTTTCAAATTTTGTGGATTAGAACAAAGCTTTAATGATCTGTAAAAATATTTAATAACACTTCATTTTTTAAATATTCTGGATTAGAACATAGCTTTAAAGACCTGTAAACATAAGAATAAAAAGTTGACATTTTTTGTGAATTCATTTGAAACAACTCTTGATAAGGTGGCATGCTAACAGAAAAAGATTTATAATAAACAGTAGTTTTTTTAACTTACTTTTATTTTCCCTAACTAATACATCAATAAACAGAAAACTATTATTATTTAAAAAAAAAAGTTACTTTTGTTCAACCAAATGTTATGACTGCTACAAATATCAAAGAATCTACAAAAAAAATTATCATATCTTGAATAAGGATAAAGGGTTGGCAAGTCAAAAGTATAGAGATGGCGTGATCTTCTATAAATTCAATATGTAATTTAAATAGTTATATGACTAATGGCTTTTGTATATTATACATACAGGGTTAAAATTAGCAGGGGACCCAGGAGCCAATGGCCCCCAAAAATGCTTGCAGGCTGGTAAAATGTGTCTACTAGGTAGCCATCAAAGGTTTGACTCTACATAAATTGATCTATGTGTTTCTTAACCGTACAGAAATTATGACAAACCATAAATGGACCTTACTGAATTTATGAACACTTGTCACTATGAATGCCTGTGCAACGACTGTTTAACCCTCTCTCCACCGGGTACCCTTTACTGTGCATGACACAAGGTTTTAGTGTCTTACATTCAAGATTTTATTGAACTACTTTTTGTTTATGTTATACCAATTAGAATAGCATAAAATCTTAGCTAATAATCAATATTTTAATAGTGTACAAGCTTTAAGTTCTTATTTCTACAAGGAAATATATAAAAAAATCCTGAATTTCCACTAGTGTAACCCATGTGACACATTTTGTCTTAGCATGTCATCATCCCTATTTTATCCCTCGAAAATGTACAAAATTAAACGTAAAATACTCTCTATAAAATCGTTAATGCTCAAACAGACCATAATTTTTATAGCCTTCAATTTTGTTTGGTTACAAAGCTATTAAATAGAAAATCAGACCCCTCCTGCCACACCCACTTGTCACATCCTCTCTTTCACAATTCGTTGATAGTTCTCTCTTACGTTTCATAATATTTTACCTATAATCAATAGAAAGTCAAGGTTTTCATCTGTCATATGACGCATTGTAGCAACATCATTCCCATGGGAAAGTTAACGATTAGCTTGAATGAATTTGTAATGGATCTTGTCGCATATTTAGAAAGCCAGGAAAATTTGGAGAGGTAAGTGAATTTGTGTACTTTTTGCATTTTATTAGTCTATATTCTTTGGTGCATTAATTGATTAAATAAAAATTGTTAAGTGCATGTATTTTCTTTCATTATTTATCTTGATTATTTAAGGACATTACTTTAAAGTTGAACAAAAGAATAGATTATACTGGCAGTGATTTTTTCTGATAACCTCCACTACAGAGTACATTTCACAATGAGCTATATGATTGGCCCCTAAAATTGCATGTTTTGGGGACCTGGCTGGTTCCCTAAAAAAAGTTAAGAGTGAGCCCAAAAATTATATGATTGGACACCAAAACAAGTAGTGTGTCTGTTTTAATCATTTAAAATAAGAACATTACTGAAAAAAGTTTAAAAACATAATTCAATTCTTTTTAGCTATACATAAAATAAGGAAAATTTTGATTCATGTGTAGAAACAATTTGGTTCATGTTAGATTCAGAGAAAAATACTGGTTTAAGTTCAGGAAAAATAATTCAGTATTTGTTACTTACAAGATAAAAAAAGCAACAAACATTTAGAAACACGAATCATTTAACAATGGGTACATGTAAAAATAGAAAACTTTTGTGTGGAGTTAAAAAACAATTCAATTATCTTTAGGGAAGACAACAAGAAATATCTGTAGTAAATTAAAGTAAATCCTTTGTTAGTTTAGAAAAAATTTTTTTGCTAGCTAAAACATAATTATACAGCATATCCAAACCTCACCAATACTTTTTTAGATTGCCATAGATCAAGCAAGTTTATATTTTGATATATAGTCAAAAACAGTTAAGCAAATGTTTAAGAAAAATATATAAGTTAATTAGAGTTTTATAAGCTCAAGAAGTATATCTCTTTTTCAATACTGTTTTATAAGAAAAAAATAAACAATGACTAAAATTTAGTTTAGAAATTAACATTGATGTACAAACTAATCGCAACATATAAAACTGAATTTTGAATATCTATAATTTACATATTTTTATTGCATGTGTATGAAAATAGTGAACCATACAAGTCATATTCATACTAAGAGAAAACAGAAAATTTATGTTATATGAAAAAAAATCATAATTTTTTGTTAAGGTAGAAAAGGTTTTTATTTTGTAAAATGTGTTCTGGCTGTAACAGAACACAGCATATTATTAAACCTGTTTAATGATATTTTAAGGAAGAAAGGAATTAAAATTAAAAGTTGTGTGTTTCAAATTCTTATTACCTTGTATTCATGCAGCCAATATATACAAACATGTTACACATATACTACTATTCAAAATCTAATAAACATACCACAATCTGCCTCATCCGAACTAAGTGTACTATTATAGCCATCATTACAATCATTATCACGGTCACATCTCCATAGCTGAGGTATGCACAGACCATTGTTACATTTGAATGCATTTCCTGGACAAGGTGAGTCTTCTGATGCTGAAAGTCAAGTAAAGAAAAATATATATATATATTTTAACATAACAGAATTTCTGTAATAATGTATCAACTTCCCACAATAATAGCTAAAACTTCTGGACAGTATAAGCAAGCACTAATCAGTAGACTTAGAGTCACTAGTCCATGTAAAATGTTCAAATAAACTGTGAGTACATACACACAATAATGATAAACACTCATTCTTCAAATCAAAATACAGATATCAGTAAGAAGTGTAGGTTCACATGAATAACTCACATGTATTATATTTAAAAAAAGACAACTTTTGTAAGTTTGCATCACAAAGAAAATTTAAATCAAACCTTCTTTATAAAGAACAGTCCAGTGAAGTCCCTATATAGTGTCAAAGACAAAAAATGGTTACTAAAGTCTACTGAATTGACAAACTAATAAAATAGAGATGATGACAAAGCACATTTTGAGAACTGATTTAATCACACTATACTCTTAATATAATCTGCATAGGGGCATTCCAGAAATGTTAAAAGCTAACAGTCAAACTCTAAGTAATGCCTATTTCACTAACAATTGCTATGGTGTGTAGGTGAGTAGTTTATGGCAGGCACCCTTAAATTTGTTTTTAATATGGCTGTACAATTTTGTTGAAATTAATTTTCTTCTTTTTGGATATACAAGATGTCTTACCAAATGCTTTAGTATCTAAACCAAAGCCTGTGTAAAGAGAAGAAGTACAGGCAGTTTGTGTATATATATATATACTCAGGCTTTGGTTTAGATACCAAAGCATTTGGTAAGACGTCTTGTATATCCGAAAAGAAGAAAATTAATTTCAACAAAATTTTAAACTCACACACTGGCTACATTTATTAGTTATTTACATTGAACTCCAACCAAGCTTTATATATATATAGCTGTATTTATCAACTGCCTTTATATTAATACAAAACACTGCATCCACCAACTCAGAATGATCTAAGTACAGACAGTATGTGTACTATGATACTGATTTGCTATGGATGTTGTATCACACATAAAGGTTGTATTCAAAAGTTATTTTATCAGTCATAAGGTATATAATCATAAAATCAGGGGTGTGGAGTCATTACTCAGAATTTATAAAATTAGACATAACATAAAATGTGAAAAGCTTTTCTTGTGACCTTCAACAGCTCGAGTTACCTTTTAACATTAGACTAATTTCATCAGGACCAACTAATCCAAATACTCAGTTGTCTGTATTAGGAAAGCATCAAATAATGCCTCTATTAAACATGTATTTCCGTATCTCATAAGTTGAAATAAATTTCTTGTTATAATCTTTACACTACTTCACGTAATGTATGTTCTTTTACTTTCTCCTGGGATAAAACCAGTAATGGCCAAAACTTCAAATGTGTTTCAATAAGAGTATGATTGTCTGTTGTTCTAGGGTCTTGGTGAATGTTGCCACTTACACATTGTACAGAAAAACATACCTACTCATAGGCCAACAGTAAGTCAGTATTATATTTACTATTTTCATCAAACAACACATGGCCTTACTTCACACTAATATTTTAATTCAAGCAGGTTAAGTAATTTACTTTGATCCCCATATGTAAGAAGATTATCATTATTGTCATTATAGTGAAACCTTTTAACAAATTAATACTGTCAAAATATATGTATATTAAATAAATACACTTTTCTATGCAGTATACAAAGTACACACATGCTTGGTGATGCAATAAATAAGTAGCTTCCATCTGACTGTGAATTGGGGTATATGACAAAAAAACAAAACCAATCGTGATATGAAATTGCTATCTTTCACCTGCAGGATGACTCAGGATGTCTGAAAAGAATACACGACCAATGGTAATGTCACACAAATATCAGCTCATGCCTAGAAAATAACATAATATTGTTGATGATGTTACAGTGTTATCAACTTCTGCCTAGAGGGTGAATTGGGGTATTTGAAAATAAAACAATGCTGACTGTGATGTCACATTGTTATCAGCTTCTGCCTAGAGGGTGAATTGGGGTATTTGAAAATAATACAATACTGACTGTGATGTCACAGTGTTATCAGCTTCTGCCTAGAGGGTGAATTGGGGTATTTGAAAATAATACAATACTGACTGTGATGTCACAGTGTTATCAGCTTCCACATTAGGTTGATTCAGAGCATTTACAAAGAATGCACGTCTAGTAAAGGAAAGGGATAAGTAAAAAACCTCAAGACTATTGGTGATGTCAATATGTTTTCAAGGCACTTTCAACATACTGTAGAGGAGAACTTCTTCATTCCACTAAATTATATGTAAAAACTAGTCAGTTCTGCTTCAAACTAAGAATGTAAATATAACTAAAACAATAAAAGGCTTGATGTTGGGAATTTTTTTATAGTGAAATTATTTGTAATGATTCTCAAATTCAGGTTATTCACTGTCTTATTTAAGTGTAATTTATTCTAAGTGGTAGTTCAGACAAACGCTAAAATCAAAAGTTAGTGAATCTCATTTTACCATCAGCTACTTACCTGGGCTGCAGTCTTGTTCATCAGAGTTATCCCAACAGTCATTGTGGCCATCACAAATCCAAGAAGGACTTATACAGTTTGTTGTATATTTACAATTTACTAGCTCCATGTTCATGCTAGCCCTAAGAGAGCAATCTGGTTGAGCTACAGAAAGAACAAATTTATTCAGTCTTTAACAACTATGGGAAACAAGCCTAATGACTGATAGTTGTTTTATAAATTCACAGATAATTTATGATGTAGATAAATACTTTTTTACTTTTACATTTTGATTTTTTGAACTGTTGATAGATATTTAAAGAAATCACAGATTTTCAGTAGGTTTTTCTCCAACTTGTATTTGTATGATGTTCTTATCATTAGTACGACCACTGTCAAGTAGACAAAGTTTAGACTGAAACTTAATGTAACATTACTTGACTATGATCATCACACCAGTTATCAAAAATTTCAGAAAAAACTTACTGAAAAGTTGTGATTTCTTCAAACTATTTTACTTTGTTTTCTAAATACCAATTCTATGAAGACAATATAATGTTGATTATAACAGCATTAAATAATATTTTTAATGAGTTATCATTGTTATGCTCATATTTTTTATAAGTACAGGTTAAAGCTTTTCTTGAAATAAGATGAATAGTGAACAACAGAATGTTTTAGGCATTTAAGAGCCTAAAATCACATATTAACATTCAAAGCTTCAAATGCCATTAATAACCTCTTACACCAAACATAAGAAACTATAAAGAAAACCATTTTTTTTTCATCCATGTAAATGGAAGCTAAGATGTTTAAGAAAATATATTTATAAAGTCATAACTAACTGCAATTCATTTCATCAGTAGCATCTGGACAGTCTGGATCCTGGTCACAGCGGTAACTAATGTTGAGACACGGTCCTCGTGTACACTTGAACTCATCTTCATTACAAGTACAGTTAGATTCATCAGAGTAATCTCCACAGTTATCTTCTTTGTCACAGATTAGCTTGTTGGAAACACAACGGTTATTGGAACAGTGAAAGAACCCTGTATGACATGTCCTGGTAGCTGCAAGAAACAAACAAAAAACAATACAATATTTATACTAGTAAAGAACTCTGTGACATGTTATAGTTGTTTTAATAATAAAAAGCATAAAATGTACATTTATTATGCATATTCATAACAACAGAGAAAGAACCACATCCTAGAAGTCATAAAAGAAAACAAGTTAAACATGTTACTAGAATATTAAAACAACAATGTAATAACCATTTGTAAAATCTAGTATTTGTAGCCATAAGACAAGTTATATATATATATATATATATATATATATATATTATCATTATACAATGTTATAAGAATTTTGCATATTAGATGCCAGTACTTATACAACAACCAGTCACCCAACAATGAAACATCCACATATAGCAGTCCTGGTAGCTGTAAAAATAAACAAACTACATATATTTCAAAAAATGCACCATAACTGAATAAAATAGATAATATAACAATTTTTAACTCTAGATTTCTGGAATTAGAGGTTGTTATTTTACATAGTTTAGGAGTTATTTCTAGTAATAGCTCTTGTTAGCATTTAAAAAAATGTTGAGAAGATAGGAGCATTGTTTGTTAAGTTTTGGTTGCTATAACAAAACAGAAATAGGTTACAGCTTAAATGATGAAAACTGGCAAAGCATTAGAAACTAATAGGTCTAAAATCTGTGATAAAAATCACATAAACTGCAAACGTTTTTTTTTTTTGGGGGGGGGGTCAAAATTATATATGTGTAAAAATAGCATTTCAGGTTGATATTTTGTGTCCCACAAGCCACTTCCCAGTCCTGGTGTTGTAACAACACATTAAATAGAATGTTTACTATTTTAATTAGAAAAGAGGATAACTCTGGACAATCACCATATTCAACTCATAACTCAACCTCTTTCAAAAAAGTAATGTGGATTACCATGTAAAACTACTATCTTCAAATAAATTCTAAATGTAACAATATCAGTAATAAAACTTGTATCAACAAACACATCCTAAAGTCACTAAGTATGAAGAAGTATAGAAAACATTATACCACAATAATTTATGTTCTCATCACTCTTGTCTGGACATTCAGCAACACCATCACAGGTGAGTTGAAAAGGAATACATACACCAGTTCCACACTCAAACTCAGTATCTGTGCAGTTAGCTAGTTTAACTGTAAAGAGAATTTCACTAATCAATATTCTATTTTCTTTTTATTTTATACAACTTCATTAAAACATCATTTTAACAAACCTCCCCATAACACAACAATTTATAATTTCATTAACATGCCAGTCTTCCTTGTAACCATTTTACTGATTTATTCTATAATAATGTGCCATAATCTAATATTTATTCACTATGGATAATAGTATTATTGACTTACTTCTGCTATTAATTTTTATATACTCACAAATTGTTAACTTGCTCCTTTTTGAGATATCCAATATTCATACAATAGATCAAATCCATTTAAAAATGGTTAGTTATTTGTAAACTGTTAACCAACCTAGATCTCTTAAGTTATTGGATACTTATGCATTGTTAACTCAATGAAATCTTTCACTAAGTAATCAGTTATTTGTACAATATTAATGCACTTAAATCAATCAAGTTATCGGACGTTTAGGCATTATCAACTTATTTACATCTATTTACTTATCAAGTTTTTGTATATTATTAAATCTTTCCATTAAATCTCGGTCGAATCAACAGAGTTCGTAACCATTTCATACTTGTTACAGTTTCCATATTATAATTTTTAATACAGTACGTGTATCTCCGCAAAAATTACATTTTCTTAATCAATTATATTTAATAAAGATTTGTCTGTGAATATATCTAGTAGTTTTGTTTATTTGTCCAAGAGCAAAGTGAGTATATTTAATAGAGACTTGTTTTATTGCCCTCTGAACTGTCTACATTAATACTACCACCATGAGTATACCTCATCAAAATATTTTCATTATTATTCTTTATTTACCTAATCTAACCTTATCTAACCTAAACAGATTATAACTTTTACATTTTAGTTACTTTTATGATAATAAATAAAGAATATACATGAAAAACAAAAAATAGAGTACTTACCTGGGTCTATTTTTTATGCCATCGACTGTCGATGACACTTAACCCTACATTTTCATACTTATGGTACTACTGTATTAAATAATTTTATATTTAATTAAATAATGCATCAAATAACATAGAATAATAACATGCAAAAAGTCCCATAACTATCAAAATATTTCTGACTTTCTAACTATGTGATAAAAGCCAGTAAAAACTCAGCTAAGCTCGTTGATGCGTTTTCCATGGGAATAAGGTTGGATTTGAACTGGAAGCAAAACAGAATTCTCTGTATGGAACATAAAGTAATATAATAAATAATTTGATAGATTAAAATCTAGTATTAAAGTTAAGAGTGAACTATTGGCAATTTGTGAAAGATGGGCATGGCAAGTGGGGTCTGATTTTCTATTTGATGGCTCTGTAACCATATAAAATTAAGGCTATAAAAATTATTTTGCCTGAGTGATGATGACATTATAATGAGCAATTTATGTTAAATTTCATACTTCTTGGACAAATAAATTAGAGAAGTGGGGATAATTTCAGATCAAATGTCACAATTCTCACACAAAGATAAATTGAGAATTTTTTAAAAATATTGCCTTACAAAATTAAGAACTTAAGACTTATATAATGTCATAGTAAACATTTTCCTAAACTGAAAATGTATTTCTGATTGAAACTTACCTACTCTCACAAAAAAACTTTCTTGACTAGTACTGCCCTCTATTGGTGCAAATGTTTTGCTAGCCACCAGCTTTGCAAATCACACTGGAAATGGGGAGGACAGGTGGGAACTATAAAAGCAAAAACATGATAGGCCAATGTACGTGGGGGAGAAGGCATATCGATCCCTTGAATGCAATTGTTTCCCAAAACAATTAGCAAGAACCCCAATATCCAGGTAAATAGGAAAACTAAAGAATGACCTAAAGTTTAATTCCCTAGGATGGCATGGATAGAATCTTAAATGAAAACAGGAGACAAAGACAAAACACAACATACCTGATTAATCAAGTCTAGAAAGGGAGAAGGAGGCCTGGGTAAGACTCCCGGAAATGACACATGACTGATAAATATATTCAAGACAGGGGAAAAAAGGCTGCCTACAGTCAGATCCATCCACACAGACACACCTAAGTGCTGGTATGATACGATACTCATCAGGTTATTCAGAATGTTGCCTGAAATTATACAATTCCCTACGAATCACAGCCATCACGTCAGTGGCTGATAACTGTGTTACCGACCACATCTATGGGATGGTAAATCTGATATAGCAATAACAGCAGTGGTAATCGTCACCACCAGAAATTGTGAGGGCATACCTCACAAAGTCGAAAACTTGAACAAAAAATAGAAAAGTGAGAGTAGATAATGAAAACCAATGGTGTTTCTCCACAAAAAAATGGAAGAATGACAATAACTGAATTAGAAAAATACATGAAAGTTAAAACACATGGATATAATAACTAAATCGTTAGTGAAAACAAACACATCTGCACAGTAAGACTGCTAATCAAGAAGTGATTAACAAGTGTATGATTAGAGAGGGCACTAGTTACAATAAGGGTAATGTCACACTCCTATTGGTGGAGGGTTGCTCATTTACACGTTAATATGTAGAAAGAAGTGGAAGTTGCAAAGCTAGTGGCAAGCAAAACATTTGTGCTGATAGAGGGCAGTAATAGTCTAGAAAGATTTTTGTGAGTGAAGATTAGATATTGTATCAAAAATTTGGATTATTAGCTATGTTTCTATGCCAAGTTTATTTATATATCACATTAAGAAAGTTGTTTAATTAAATTTTGAAGGAAACTCAGTAAAACCTCCTGACATGCACACAAAATAATGCTCATTCTGAAAGAGTTAACTCATTTCTAGCTATCATTATATTTTTAAGATATTACTTCAATTCATTATTCATGGATTAGATATTTGTCTGATATGCAAAAATTAATAACTTATCATAATTTCAGTTTAGTACTAAAGAAAGTCTAAAGTATTTTATGCATTACAGATTATCATAGTATACTACATTACTAATTTCCTGCTATGACTTATTTACCTGATAGTTTCTCAACAAATGAAAATCCATGGTGTTTCTCACTTACCACCACAGCGTTTCCCTCCAGGAAGCAAGATTTTTCCAGGAGAACAAGAACAGTTAACTGTACCGTCTATGTCAACACTACATTTGTCTTCACATCCTCCATTCATGGAAAGACATGGATTCAGAGAGCCTGAATAAAAAAAAATCAAACAAAATTCACCATACACGACATATGTATTTTTCTTTTAACATGTCTTGCACAAATGGAACTGATAATTTTATATACCTCGTCTAGCATACGTTAAATGTTTCTTGCTAACACTTGGTTAATTCAGTGACAGCAAAAATATTTCCAACACCTTTCCCAGACTAAAACTGACAGAAATCACAACTTATTTCACACAAAAACTTATTGGAAAAGAACAAACAAACAAAGATTTTACACTTTTCATTGTACTTCCCCCCCCCCTACCAAATCTTGGACAATATTACATCCTTTTACATTCATGGCATTTCGTTATTCACATTTGTTGAGACTGTAGAAGTTCTGAGCAAACATTTATAAATATCAGGTTATTTTTGTTTCAGTTAATGTAACTTATCATCAAGGCTTCTCTTCAGGTCATTTTGCAGACAAGAAGTTACAATACAATTTAGCAAGTCATTAGCCTTCAATTTTTAGCACAATTTGTTCTTATTACCATTACATGAGACTTATAATAGCCATTTTGCCAAATTTGGGTACCTCAAAAGTTTGATTGTACAGATGTTTTAACCCTTGAATCCACTGATTGTATTCAGGCTTTGCATCCCTGTCTTTTCAATAGACACAGTGACCCATGTCGATGCAGATTTCAAGTGGAATTAAACCATGTGACGTCACGTCAGCAAGCAGCTCGGAGTAGCTTGATGGTAATGTAATTCGATAGCATAACGTGAGCCCCACATTCCCCAAGTGGTTTGAGACTTATATTGGCACGATTAGTATTGAGACATGGTTCAAAGAGCAATAAAACAATAATATTTAAGTATAAATATATATGTACTGTTAGGAGTTTAAATCTAATTAGGATAAACAAATGTAGTTCGATGTCACAATTTGAAGTCATTCTAGAAAGAAAAAAGTATAACTTAGATTTATTTAGATTTTTTTTAGTAGTTACGAGGTTGATCAAAATTGATCAACCTTGTATAAAGTTAGAGTAGAGAAAATAACAGATAAAATATAAAGTTTTACCGAAAAAAAAAAAAACGTTTGAAATGTATTTAGGAGGTTTTAGATATTATGCATATTTCAGATATTTTAATCTTAACATGAAAATCACTTTGCACTCGGACTATTCATGGACAAATCTTTTTTCAGTTTATTAAAAATACTTCACTAAAACATCTGATTTTTTGAATGTAAGATACTTGTAATTTTACTAAAAGTCTGCCAAATTTTGTGAAGATACATATACCATATTAAAAGTTAGTAGTATCAAAACTATAAAAACTTTAAATGTACACAAAGTGGTCACGTGGTTGGGCAATTCGACTGAACCGGTGTAGAGAGAGTTAAGTAGAAGCTGATAAACCAACTGCAGTAAGTTATGCCATACCTAAGTCATTTGAACCACAAAGCCCAAATGTATTAGACATGAAGATCAGCTCTCAGTAAATGACTACTCCTGGAAGAAGATACGTGCTGCATGTATGCCCTAAATTCCTGCAGGCTACTAAGATTTTTCAAACTCCAAAATCAACCTTGCCTACAACTTCCAGTCTCCCAACTACCAGACCACAAAGCACTTCAGATCTTCACCATAACAGTAGTAACACCAACACAAATCACTTAAGTACCGATCTAAGCTCCATCTCCAACAAGATCACCTGAGAAAATCCAACAACCAAGTATCTATGCAGATGCTACAAGACTGAAACCATCAGCCTGACCACCATCCCCATTGAAGATTTTGTCACCCTTGTAGCAGATTCCACACTTGCTGCCCATGCAGACAAGGCTGCAAATCCTAACAGAAGTTTGTTCAGCTGCCCACTTTCACTTCCCAAACCTCAATGAATACATTAATAATTTTCACTCAAACCTCTCATTAAAAGCCAAAATAACAAAATAAGGAAGCTAATAAAAGAAAAGCAAGAATTAAGAAGGAAAAATTTCTGTGCCTTAAAACAAAACAATTTCCTATTTTATTGAAAAATTAAATCTTTTGCAACAACGTTTCCTTACAGTAAAGCCACAATATCAAATATGACTCAATGCAATGACAGAGGAAGAAAAAGAAATCTATTTTACAGCTATTATGAAGATTCAGTTCTCATCCCTAACCTCAATAACCTTGATGCAGATAATTTTAATAAAGTCAATAAACATATGTAACAGATAACCACATCATATACAATCATTTACATCCAAAAACCTATATATATCCTAGCCCATCAATCCAAGCCAATACTACCACAAGCCCCATTTATAAAAACTATGCTAGAAATACAGCCAATGTTGACCATTAGGTCAAAGAGGTACATGTTGAGTTTGTTTGCAAGTTGACCATGCCTCACAGGGAAGCTATTTTTCAGGTATGTGAAAATGCTTACATACAGAATTTCTCCACATTTAAAGTCTGATAATGTTTACAGAAACACAGCTGAAAGCTTTCCAAACAAAAAGGTGTTTTTAATTATGGAGAAATCCACTGTAAACTTTTTACATATCCGTAACTCATGTTGAGCCAAAACAACATAGATGACATTGTAGATTAGCACATGTAACTTATACAGCTTTGACAGGAATTAATAAAAACATTATTATTTGGAAAGTATTTCCTTTAAAAGGTATTTCATTGTATCATGTTTGTTTGCTAACTATACGTATAGTGATTTACAGTAAAGTATGCTAATTAAACTGGACTGGTCTGATATAAAAATGTTAACATGAAAACTTACAATGCCACAATTTCATTACAAAAATATTTCATCAAATGCACACAGTAAGCTATCACCATTAAAACATTAATTGTTCAGAAATGTTCACCTAACAAATAGTAAACTATCAATCTTAAGAAGAACTAAAAATTATTACACAAAATATGCAATACACTCTCAGCCCCACAAACATGAAACAAATTACACACAAAGTATTTTATCACCATACTTATTAAAATAATTCATAAAACAAACATCACTACCAATCATAACCACAATAAAAAAAAAAAGGATTCCATGAATTAAGTAACATTCTAGTAACCTTATAAATAATTTAAAAGGAGCTTACAGGAAATATGCTGAGCTCTATCAAACTTGTAGTCAATTAAAAGATTCTCAAAAATGTGCCATATTTCCTCAACCTGAATATGAATATAAAATTATTCAATGCAGTACATCATACTCTATGTATCTTGCAATTATTTTCATGGAAAACCAATTTAAATGTAACTGTAAAAAAAAAATAAAGATATGAACACATATTATAAACATACAATCATTTGCATCCTCGGCAACAGCAGTAATTCCCATTGGTCGAGCAATGTTCTTCCGCAATATATGGACCTCTTCGCCAGTATACTTGTTTGCTCTCAGCACAGCATGAGCCACCCAGTCTGTCCAAAAGATGTAGTCTCCATACACAGCTAGGTCAAATGGATGTTTAGGATCTTCTAGCTTTAAAACCTAATGCATACAATATATGGTTTACTGCATAACAGAATCTTTTAGCATCATAATGAACAATATTATCAAGGCTATATCTAAGCTTACTTCACAAGGCAAAACAATATATTTCAGGAGTCTATAAACTATTTCTGGACTTATTCAGTTCTGATAACTATTTTGTAAGGTCTTGAGTCTTTTAACTGTTCAAAATGTTACTTAATACATAAAAAGCCTTTAATAGTCTTGAGAGTCAAACTTTAATAAACACACCAAAGAAAACGTATATTTATGAACATCAAGTACATAAAAACATCAAACAACACAATAAACTGTGTGATATCAGCAGTTTTTTAAACACACAAAAAATTTTAATATACAAGTAATTTTACCAACTGAAAAAAATTAAATATTCATAGCATTTTGTAACTTTAAAAAGTATACTGTTTAAGTTTCCCTATGATTCTTTAACAAACTTGGTATCTTATTTTGTTGTTCAATCCATAAGTACAAATAGAGCTTAGATATTAACCATTTAACATGAAACTGACACAATATGACAGTGATTAATTTTTTTCTTTTTCTTTTTTTTTCAATCTATGATGGAACAATTTAATAAAAATAAAACTCATAGTTTTAGCAACTTGCTTGGTTTCTGTGCTGTCTTTTGAGTCAGATTTATTTAATGTAATAATTTCATGGAGTATTAAAAAAATCCAACTTTGACTTTTTTTTTCTGAGAAAAAGTTTCCATTCAGTTTATAGTCATTTATATGTTGTTTTTTTTGTTAAAAACATACTGAAATCAGATACTAGTAAATATTCTGGTGTTCATTATATATATTATGTTTAATTCAATAAACACATCGTTATTAATATTGAAATTAAAGATACAGTATTCAGCTATCAATGTGTACTTTAACCCTCAAATTACAAACTTGTTTTATACCACTCACTATTGGTGGGATTCACATACTGCATCATATTGTATAATTTCATATTTTGCCTTTTACAACACTCAATGTTACGAACTCACCAAACAAACTGGATGAATATATAATACATAGGTGACTCCAGCAGTAATTAGTGGGATTAACTGAATACTGATGGTTATTTTCCTCAAGAAAGCCATGGACTCACAAGCAATTTGATGTATAAACAGTTATTAAAAATATGTTTATAATACTGATATGGACCTCTTTAGTAATTCTAGAGTTAACTACATTGCCTTGGCAGAATAAAATTATCACTCCTGAAAAGAATGGCACTGCCCATTACTCATACTGCCCACCAATTCAGAGCAGTTGAGGATGAAACCAGTTGATATCATGCCAAATTGCATCTTAGCATTATCCAATGCACATGGTAATGCAACTAAATACCAGTATCCAAGTGTGTGGAATGTACATCTCATATAATTCACTATCATTGACATAAAACCATTGTACTGTTAATTCTTCGTGGCTGCTCAACTTATTCTGCCAGGGCACTGTACAAAAGACTTTAATGCCACAATCAAAATTTAGATTTTTTTTTTCAAGACTGAGTATTTACCTACTTAAAATATACTTAGGGAAGTTTGTATAACACAAAATCCTAAGATTCCTTTTATATATATTTTGTAAACAAATAAAAATGCAGTTTACACAATAGCTTTTTTTTTTTATAATGAGCTAGAATAAAGCAAACCACTCTTCTTAAGTTATAGTCAAGTATGTAATAATATAATGAATATAAAACACACATTAACTTTCTAGCTATAGGCTTGGTCGATTTGCCGGAGTTTGTGACCCAAAATTGACCGTTAGTTTCCATGATATAATTTCTAATATGTTTTGTGTATCTTCATGAAATTTCAAAAGCTTATAGTAAACATTGTCTTCTGTAGACAGAAAAATTAGAATTTTGAATGAAACATTTTTACTAAAAATTTCTCTGTGAACATAAGGAGGCAAAGTGTTAACTGCTCTGAGTGCAAAGTTATTTTCATGTTAACATTAACAATTCTTCACTTCATCTGAAAACTGTTGAATTTCATTTGCATAATCTCTAAAAACCTCCTAAATAAATTTCAAACATTTTTTTCAGTAAAACTTTATATATTTTCTGTTATTTTCTCTACCCTAATTCTGTACTAAGTGGGTCAACTTGACTGATCTCATAACCACCATAAAAAAATATATGAAATAAAGCCAATTCAGCCTTTTTTTCCTTTTTAGAATGATTTCATAGTGTAACAAGAAATTACATTTGTTTATACTTAAATTTTATTGCTTTATTGCTCTTTGAACCATGTCTAAGTAATAATCCTGTCACACGTTTAAATCACCCTGCGAACATGTAGCTCATGTTACCCTATCAAATTATGTATTGTATGAGCTACTTGTGAGCATACATTGCAAATTATTATTATTTTTTTATCTTACCTAATTTAACCATACCTAACCTAATAAGTTTCTAATTTTTACATTTTAGTTATTTTTATAATAATAAATAAAGAATACACATGAGAAACAAGAAATATAGTACTTACCTGGCTCTTCTTTTCTTTTTTTTTTTTAGCTATTGACTGTTGATGAAATGTAACCCTACTTTTTTATACTAACGGTACTACTACACTATATTATTTTTTAGTTAATTATATAATGCACCTAAGAACACAAAATAATAACAAGTAAAAAGCATATAATGTCCTATATCTACTATAATTTTTTTGGCATTCTAACAATGTGATAAGAGCCATTAGCCCTATGATTACCAAGTGTGGAGATCCACAGCACCTAATATTGCTATTGTTATATTTCATTCCAAAAATAAAATTAGTGGAAGATTTTTGACAAGAATCCTCCTAAAAGTATGTAGCTTTAGAAAAATAAAATATTCAATTTTGCTTTCTTCTACTACTTATAATAAAAAATTCGTTATTACTTGTACTTAGTTGCACTCAGACTCTGAATAGTTCACCTGCAAGGTGATTTTCATTTTGAGTATAAAAATACTATTTGTTTACTTACAGTTTTAACATTTCACTTGCATAATTTCTAGAACCTCCTAAATGAATATAAAAAGTTTTTTAAAGTAAATGTTTGTATTTTATTTTCTATTTTCTCAACCATATCACTAACTAGCTATTATCATGAACGTACACTAGATTGAAATGTTTAAAATTAAGAAATGGAAATATGTACATACCTTCACAGAGTAGTCTTAAAATATCTTCTTTGGATTATATGCCTAATTTCACATCTTTATCTATTCACTTTATAACTTATTTTTAATATTTTCTTTTCCTTTTGAATACTTTGTCTTTTAGTATTTATGTCAATACGTTAACTGGTGCCTGCAGGCCATTATAAAGTTATAACTGGAAGACACTGGGCAGAAACGCATTTGCTGCATGCAAAATGGCACTTACACATGCCTATTTTTATAAGTGTTCATAAGCAAGTCAGCCACAGATAAAAGTAGAAAAAAAAATATTAACCTTTCAAATATAAATTTTAAAACACAAATAATACATAATTAAAAAAAATATAAAAGTAAAACCTAGTTGCAATTTACCTGTCTATCAAACTAACATGTATAAGGCAAGAACAATAGCCAAGCACTAGGGACACTGCTGATCTCTACAATGGACACAATGCAGCAATTCACTTGTCACTTGAAAAATAATCTATCACTTACTTTCTTTCTAGCCTGGAGAGACTAACCATGAAATCTGCTCTTTCTATTGGTTATAAGCATCACATTAATATCTACAAAATATTGTTGCTTAGCAAAAGATTACTTTGTAATGTGAGCCTGGCATCTAGCAGTGAAGATGAGATATAACCATTTCCTAAGAATTCTACCTGTTGAAATACAAAACTAATGTGTCTGGATTTGAGCTTATACCTACAGAGGTTTGTCTAGACTGTCATAGAGGTACTGAACGTAAGCTGAAAGATACATAAGCAATCAAACCTAAGGTATTTCAATGATATGCACATTATGTGACAACTGAAATAAATGAATAATAACTTGGATAATATAAAACTTTGAATTATAAGGTATTTGATAATGCTAATTTAATTAAAATACATTGAGAGTAAATAGGTTTAGATAGGTTTTGAATGTAACTTGTTAACACTTTATGGCATGTACAGAAAGGTATTTAAAAAAGTGTAGCAGTTGTTAAAAGGATAAAAGTTCAACTAAGCTCGTCAATGTGTTTCATGTGAGAATAAAGACTGAAATGGAAGTGGATTCTCTGTACAGCAAACAATGTAATACATTATTAGAGAAATTAAAACTTTGGCTTTCTATTGGTTATACATAATGTAGTGTTAAACATTAGAGAGAACTTCTGGTAATTTGTGAAAGAGAGGATGTGCTAGGTTGGTGTGTCAAGTGGGTCTGATTTTCTAGTTTATGGCTCCATAAACAAATAAGATTGAAAGCTATAAAAACTTATAATGAGCAATTTACATTATATTTCATACTTCCCAAAGGGATAATAAATAAATTAGATAAAAGGGAAGACCTAGAGAGCAAACGTCACAATTTTCATATTAGGAGAGATTGAGGATTTTTAAAAATATTTCCATATAAAATTAAGAACTTAAAACCTATATAATATTTAAATTTTAATTTATTATCTATGTTTTGATGCCAAGTTTATTTGTATACCATGATAATAAAGTAATTTAATTAAATTTTGAATGTAGCTCTCTAACAAATCATGACATGCACACTTTACCCTGCCTGTGGTGAGGGAGTTAAAACAAGTCACACCATTAATCTTAGGATTATTGGTGGCCCTATCGTAATTAATCACACTGATTATTGTTTACTTTTTTTATGTACGTCACACAGAAAAGAAGTAATTTTTATTCAATTTTTCTGATCAGTTTGAAACATTTGAGTCCACATGATATGGAGAAACATAAAATTACTCAATATGATGCAAAATGTTGCCCCCCATTGGGTAGTGTGTAAAGAATTTTGTAATTTGTGGGTTAGGAATACAAAATAAATAGAGGTTTGGGTACTGAGCCATAAAAAAATTATACCTGACTAATAAAGGTGTCATTATAGTAAAAACCTAACCTTTTCAATTTCCTCAAATTATTTTTTCTAGCCCGAACCCTGGTTTTTACTGGCTTTGAGATTGTGGAGAGCAAGAAATAAAACTTTCAGAGCTAAGTTCAATCAATTATGTGTTACAGTTACTAAATGAGAAATATATTTAACATACAAACACTTCTTTTTACACCATGCAAGGTTTCAGTGTATGAAAATGTCTACATGTGATGAGATGAAAACTTAGGGTGCCATTCTGGTGTTCAAGCTCCCTTCTGTATTAGAATACGAAGAAAATATTTGAGTTACATTCTCCTACATAACATTAGTTAAAATTAATTAAATGTTTTAAGAGAGCACTAATCACTGGAAATTAAAGTAAATTCAGTTTTCTTGCATTTCTTATTAGAAAAGATAGAATAAAATACAGAACAATCCTAACCATACGAATATCATTATAACATAAGATGCTCACCGAACGACTACTTCCATCCAAATTACATCGTTCAATCTTATCCAGCCTGGCATCTGTCCAGTACAGTTTTTGTGCTTTGTGGTCAATGGTCAAACCATTAGGCATCTTAATGTCAGTGGTAATGATAGACTGAAGTCCATATCCACTTAGGTAGGCTCTCTGGATGGCAGGATGTTGCGTGTTCCAGTTAGTCCAATAGACTCGACTACAAGGGACAAATATGCAGGAAATTCAATTATTTGGTACTTAAAACTAAAAGAATGGAAAAAAAAAATTACTCAAAATACTAATGGGAAAGTTAATAACACTGGCAAAACAAAATGAACCAGAATTTCCAATCGTAAAATGTTACTCAATTGTAAAATTGTCATAAAAGTAGTATTCTAAAGTTAACTAAAGGAAAGGTATAATGATGAAAACCGAGATTTTATTCAAACACTAAGCTTTCCAAAGACAAAGTAGGGAAGCCAGTAGTGTAGGGATTTTATTCTCCTTGTAAAGTTGAGAGGGCTTAGTCTGCTACGTGATCATTAGTCGGATCAAGTGACATGTCCACTTCTATCCCTATGTTGTTTAGTTCAGTTTTTTAAGTTCACTAGCAAACCCTACTTAGCTTTTTTAATTAGCAATAAATTTGTTTCCTAATACTCGTTAATACATCACCAATTAGACTTCAAGTCAAATCAGAGTAAATTTAGGTATGTTACTTCCACTGAAACATGACCAACTTAAAGAGTATACACAAGACATTTTTTCTAACTTCATCATAGGTTGATCACTTAGAGAAGACTGGTAAAAACATGACACTTCACTTAAATATATCATCACTAGTTTCAAACTATCAGTTGAAACAGGCAACTTAAATACTAATGAAAAATATCAATGACACATGAAGATGAGCAGTAGAAAAGAAAGTGTTAGAGGCAGACTGTTCTCTAAGAGCACTGTGTGATATCTAGAATAATACTTACAAAGCACAACTGTCTAGGTCAATTCCCCGGGGCTTGTCCTCTGATCTTAATTTGATGATTTCTTCAGGACGAGCATGAGGAGATCTTAAACTTAAACGGCTGACAGAAGCATCCCGGTGACTGGTCCAATATAATTCCTTATGAATAGAGTCAAAAGCCAATCCTTCAACAGAACCTTGCTCTATGGAATTGAACAAAATAAAACAATTGTTGAAATCATAATTAAATCCATGCTAGTAACACCCACTAAAATCTATACTGAAGTTTCATTCCATGCTAGTAACACCCACTAAAATCCAAACTAAAGTTTCATTCCATGCTAGTAACACCCACTAAAATCCAAACTAAAGTTTCATTCCATGCTAGTAACACCCACTAAAATCCAAACTAAAGTTTCATTCCATGCTAGTAACACCCACTAAAATCCAAACTAAAGTTTCATTCCATGCTAGTAACACCCACTAAAATCCAAACTAAAGTTTTATTCCATGCTAGTAACACCCACTAAAATCCAAACTAAAGTTTCATTCCATACTTCTAATGTCCACTAAAATCTAAAGTTAGGTTCCATGTTTGCAACATCTTCAAAAATCTAAACTCAAATTAGGTTATATGCCTGCAACACCTTCTAAAATCTAAACTCAAATTAGGTTACATGCCTGCAACACCTTCTAAAATCTAAACTCAAATTAGGTTCCATGCTTGCAACACCTTTTAAAATATAAATTAAAATTAGGTTCCATGCTTGCAACACCTTTTAAAATATAAATTAAAATTAGGTTCCATGCTTGCAACACCTTTTAAAATCTGAACTCAAATTAGGTACCATGCTTGCAACACCTCTAACATTTAAACTCAAATTTGATAGTTTCATTCTTGTAACACTCCCTAGCATCTAAACTCAAGGTTAGTTCTATATTTGTGGCTTGCCCTTTTTGTTTTAAATCCAAAATAATCATATGTTGTAATTTTCTATAAATGAAATTTAAAGCTGTTTCCATATTTGCAACCAAATTAATGGGACTTGTTTTCAAACATTCACCCACTTTGATAAAATTTTCATAGTCTACGAAGCCCAGAAATACAAAATGGCCTCCTAGAATCTGCTGACAATATTCTTTTAAAACAAATTTGCAAAGAGGTCTCTGCTGCCAAATATTTTACTCTAATTGTAGATGAATGTAAAAACGAGTCCAAGTAAAACATTGTTGGCATATCTTTGCAATATTACTACCAGGGAATAGTCAAGGAACGGGCCTTTGGCTTCATTGAAACAAGTGATCTCACATATTGCTATAATTTTCCTAAATGAAAATCTATTTCCAATAGCTACTTCCCTCCACTCACAAGATTAGCTTTTCTCATTTTGTGCTGCCCTCTATAACCAAACATTTTTCACAAAACATGCCAAAAGCCTTCATCCTCCCTCTGTTGGAATCCAAAGTTCCTACATGTCTCTCATACAGTTCATCATGTGTCACCTCTCCACCAATAAAAGTGCACTACTATCACATGACGCATGTGACTCCCTCTAAATGCCACTACCGAACTATCACTGCAAAGATGTGAGCACCAGAAGATTGTGGGGAGGACAGGTGGGAAGTGTGAGCGGAAGGAAGTATCTGTCGGAAATACATTTTCATTCAGGAAAATTATAACTTCCAATACGATACTCTCCCTCCGCTCACAAGATTAGCTTGAATCCCACACTGAAATGGAGGAAGAACCTGTGCAAGGGAAGTACAGCATATCCCCTGGATGCATCCAGAGGACACACCCAAAATGAGAGAAACAGATCAGATGATTTGAAGAGGGGTACTGAATCACATCTGAGCCAGGTATCTCTTTGCCATGAACATCAATCTGATCAGGAGGACCACACATGGCGGAGCATTAAAAGGAGCATATCCATGTGGGAGAGGACAGTTAAACATTGTGATCTTAATGAGAAATCAGGATTACTCAATCCCACGATGGAAAGTTCGCAAGTGAGGATGTGTTCCATGGTGTAGAGTGGCTAGGGTGCGACGGACTGTACTCGGTAAGTCAACTACATCCAAAACCTCACTCGCTGGGTACTGACATCCTCGCGAGGGTAGAATGAGAGTCATACTGTCTTCACCTCAAGTCCCATAGTTAAGTGAGAGAACCTAGCATTTGACTCCAGGAACTCGCAGGGTAGCCTAATGCCAGGGATCTGGAAAAGTGTCATCTGGAATCCAAGGGAAGTCCATCGCACAAACACCTGTTACCATGAAACCCACCCGAAACAACATCGTCACTCAATGAGGGTAAAACCAAGATAGAAGTGGATACAGGCCACGTAGACCTTCTGCGACCCACAACACAGAAGACAAGTCGAGAGGGGAAGATGAACAACCTGAAACCTGTGTGAGGACTTATGTGATTGTTTCACTCGATCTCCAAAACTCATTCACTGAGTACCGACAATCGTGCAAGGTTAGGAGGAGGGTACCCAACTGGAGGGGTGAATTGCATTTGGCCACATCTCAACTCTGGAGGATCTTGTAACTCCCTCTACCAGCAGAACACCACTGCCCTACTCTGAACTGAATGGTTATAGCCATTTTTGTGGAACCCATCCAGCAGTTTGCCTCCATGGTCAACCACTCCAGCAACTTGTAAGTGGTAAGACTCTCATACTCCACTGGAAGAAAGGGGGGAAAGTGAAGTGGAGAGTCCAGAGGGACTGCAACACCAATTGGTGATCATGAAACCCTATTTCGAAAAGCATACAACACAGATTTATTCAATCTAGGCATGGCAGGGATGGGCAGCAATCTCCTTCTGCTTTACCCATGCTGTCCATGGGTGGTATGGTATGGGATGGTCATATTATGACACAATTATCACGAGGAATGTACATTCTAGTGATCTTGTTAAACATCCCATCTTCAAGGGTGAGCATACAAATGAAAAATGTATAAGAATCAACATGGGTTACAGTGCGGATTTGATATCAAGATGTCTGCGAATGATTATAGCTACCTAAGTGGAACCAATTCTGAGTACAGACAGAATATCTGGTCAGGCACCGTCGCCACAGAGGGGGATCCAAAGTGAAGCGAAGCAAGGGCCTCTGAAAGAAAATAAAAGCATTAGTGAGGGCTTACCTCATGTTACAGCCTCGCCAAAGTCTGTAGAATTGCCACAGGTGACAGGTGATATCCCAAGGAAGCAGAAACAGAGATGTAGTAAAAGTAGTGGGAGATGAACGTGTGAGGAGTCGTCCACATGCCCCATCGTAGAACCTATTCCAATCGTCAAGAAACTCAAAGATGCAAGGGAGAAGGTAAGATGACAGATCTGATGTGAAGAAACGGGAATGAGATCACTCTGGGAAGGAGAAAAGGAGGAATAGGTCAAGTGGATCAAACATCAAATCCAATTGATCAGGGTAACTGGAAAAAGATCACAGAAACAGGAAGGCTGCCAAGGGATAAAAAGGCAGGAACGAGGACCCTGGAAGGAAGCCATGTGAGCAATAGAACAATGGAGGGCACAGACAGGACAGAGGAGTCTATCTGGATCAGGACGAGGGTAGAGATGAGATATATAGGATAGGCAGATAGGGAAAAAAAGGATTTACCTTATTATTATTATCCTGATATAGGATAAGGTAGGAAGTGTGGTACAAGGTCCTGGTAACGTCAAGGGCAAAAATATCCAATCTACAACACCCGCAGGCCAGGAGGAAGAGAAGGAAGTACACCCTCAAAGAGAAGTGAAACATGAAACACATAGAGGTTCTAATGAGGTAAAGTGAGAGCATGAAGGACCATGTCAATGTCCCAGTCCAGGAGTGACTGACACCTCGGTGGCCGACAGAGCCAGAAGGAACAGATCACCATGGAAAGGACAGGGGAAGCAATGATGCTGCGGAAGCAGGAAAAACAGAATGTATGGGCTAACGCCACTCAAAACACCAAAACTGAGAAGACTGAAGAACCCCTCTGAAAGAGCTACGTGAGAAACTCGGACATACAGTCAACCATTTGCACTGATCCACTGCAAAAACCAAAGGATCTGGACCTGGTACCACCTTCGTGCTTGGTCAGCAGCTGGCAAGAGAAAGAAATTAATCCAAAGCCCAATGAACAGCCAGGAGTTTGAGAAGAGAAATCTCATCTACAGACCAATGACCCAAAACCTCATGGTGAACCAAACAGACACCCCAGCCCTGAAGGGATTCATCCGTGAACAGATGTAAATCTGGCTGCAGAGGAGGAAAAGGGACTCCCGCCGACGTGTGGGGTCTGTTCAACCACCAATGGAGATCATCTACAAGGGATTATGGAAGGGATATAGAAGTACCTAAGGGATCTCAGGCAAGGATCCATTGATTATGAAGGACCCACTTACAAAAACCACATATGAGCCCTGCCCTGGGGTATGAGAGAGATCATGGAGGATCACATCCCGAAAAGCGATAGAACACCTTGCGAGCTGTAAGTGAAGGAACAGGCAGGGCTTTCGAAATGGCCTATTCCATAGAATGGAGCCGGCAAGGAAAAGGTTGGGCTCGACTGAGATGGGTGTTGAAGAAAACACCCAAATGGATAAGGTATTGGGTAGGACAAAAGAAAGGCTTATCCATCTTGACCAACCATCCCACCTGTGTAACTTCAGCCAAGAGCTGACGAGTGTGACAGGCTGATTCCCATTCAGAATGAGCAAGAAGCCAGTTGTCCAAATAAACACGGAAACACAACCCCATGGCATGAATATTTCAAGCAAAGGAGTGGAACACACAATAAAACACGTATGGTGCTGAGGCTAGTCTGAAAGATAAGGCGCAAAACTGGTACACAATCCCCTGCTGGAGAAACTGAAAATATGGATGGGAAAGCTCCACCACAGGAATGTTTAGGTAAGCATTGAAAACATCCACCTTGGTCATCCAAAGACCTGGAGAAAATGACAACCGAAGAGAAAGGTATGTCTCCATAGTAAAGTGAGTGTAAACATACTGATTGAGATGGGATAAATCAATGACAGGATGCCGGTCCCTGGTCTTCTTGGGAACCACAAATAGTTGGGAGTAAAACCCCTGTGACTAACATAATCCCAGTGATTTGCCAAAGTAGGGATAAAATGTTTTTTATTTTAAGCCTCTCAGTTTTTGTAGTTTTGACTTTCTTGTTTCAATCATTTTTGTAGCATTAAAACATTCTATATAACTACAGCTAGCTAGGTTAAACACACACACACACACACACACATATATATATATTGATCTGTATTTGACTTTATAAAAAGTTATTTTATTATATTTGTTATATGTATATATTATTACAAGAATTTTTCTGCATTATTAGCTTAGTATATTAACTTAGGACTAACCTAAATCTTCTATGCTTGCCAAACTGCATGAAATATTGTTGGGATTATGACTGAAATAACTGATAACAGTGAAAGTAAACTAGCTGATGACCTAATGCATTCTAATAATTATATATATTTTGGCTTATTGCTCCTAGTTGAATTGGTATACTAAATTACATTAAAACTGGGTTAACCGTTAGTGCTGATCTCTGTAGCTAGCTTCTTTCGATCATAAATTACTGAGAATTGCTAATGGACCAGATTATTATTCATCACATATTATTAAATGATGGTGAAAACATTTATACATACAATCACATAATGCAGCTTTTGTGGATAAAGAATTATCTACATAAACAGGGTGAAAAAGCTCTGATGTCATTCATTTTGCAAAAGGAGTGTAAACAGCACCCTACAGAAGAATTCCCCTTTGATGGTTTGTTACAAAAGTGGATTCAAGAGTAGAAGCAATAAATGGTCACATAAAAGAGTGGAAGCTGGAGGAAAAGGTATTTAAGTCTGTATATTTCTTTTATAGGAGATTATGTCATTGCTCTTTACAATTGCTATTGGCCAGCTCTTATGAAAAATGCAGAAACTGATTCTGTTTTCACGCAATGCATGCTTGAACCCATGAAACAACACACTGTACAGTCCAAAGGTTTAACAGAAAGCAGGTGATGTAGCTTTGGACTTTCCACAGTTGACTGCAGAATATCTGACCATTGACAGTGAGTGGGTGTGTGTCAGCTGAAGCAAGTGTAGTATACTCATAACTTTTTTTGAATAGATTGTGTGAAATGTGGGTAAGTTGGATTCTCTGTGTAAAGATACAACCACCATGTTTCAAATAAGGTCTATTTTCTCTACATTAAACATGATTCACCTATACAAGTTAAACAATGATTCCTGTATCATTCAGATGCAAAGGCAGTGAGGTACATATAGTATTAGTAAAGTGGATTCAAACAATACAAAGAATATAGGCTTACAAGACCGGCTTTCATGCCTAAAAGTGTTCAGAATGCGGTGAAAATCATTGATGGCACTTTTAATGAACTGTAAAATGGCTAAAGGTGGAATATGAACACATTATATGAAACATTTTTATGGATGAGCTATGGACAAGATATAACACAATATATATATATATATATACAGAGAGATTTGAGGAAAAATTCCTACTTTATAAATCCCTGCCCCTTTTCAGTAAAACCTAAACCCCAACTTACTTCTAAAACATTGATTTTTATTTTACAATAGTCTTTAATTTTTGACTTACTTTCTAGAAGTACAGTATGGTTTGTTCCATTGAAGAAAACACTGTTGATACTTCCTTTCTGAATATCTGAATAAAAGATCTTCTGCAATTTGTAATCAAATGATAAACCAATAACATTTCTCATGAACTTCTTGTTTGAGATGGTTGGGTAAGGAGCATTAAGGTTAGTTTCTTCAAACAAATGCACACTCTCTATTTTCAGAACTTGGGAAAATAGAAGGAAGGCTGAATAAGCTGGTAGAAAAAAAAAAGAAACATTTGATTGATGTAATATAAAATAAAAACTCTATAAAAAAAGAAAGAAAAAACACAGACATTTTTACTCCTATACAGAATGAAACTTTATAGATAATCACTGTTTTTCTACAATAAAATAATTCAGCCAGGTTATTACTAGTAAAAGTGATTCCTAATCTAAATATCAATCTTAATATATCAAAGCCAAATTAAAAAAATACAATATTAACCCAATGTGCACAAGTGGAAATCAAAGTGTGCATGCCATGACATTTTACAGAGTGCCATTCAACTTATTATTATGTATTTGATGTTATCAACAAATCATCTAAACTTACATTGCTAATTTGACCCTTTAACTGCAGCTTTTTTAATCTACATATTTTGAGTACAAATACTTTTGTAACACTTTTCTTTTGTATACAACAGACACGTACATTTTATTAAAAGCTTACCACATTTCATGTAGATATACACATAGTAAATTCATAATTATAGTGAACATTTCTTCAACACAGAGTCAGTTTACTAGACCAACCCTATCCATATTCAGTTAAACGAACTATTTAAATAGTGATTTTTATTTTTAGACATGAAAGCAACAAACATATGTTAATGTTTCTGCTGATGTTATATTAGGCTTAATTCATCATATGTTGGCTTATATATATAAAACTGTTGAAAAAACTTAAATGATAAAAATCTAAGTTTGTTAACTTTTGTTATTATCCAATAAACCTTTGCATGACCACTTTAATTAATATAAATAATGCTTGTACAGTAGTATTAAATTAATGAGCTAAACTCAATTACTAATAAAACTTTTCTTTTTACTCTGCTGGAAAGTATAATTTGTTCTAACTTCTATATGGACTGGTAGGGGAATTTTAAATTACTAATGTAAATTTAAACTGACCACCATAATAGTCAAATAACAATAGGAAAAATAACAGTAATTATAAAATGTTACAAAATAATTCCCTGAAAACTGTTTGGTAGGAGAAAGTTAATTTAAAATAGAAATCAATCAACATTAGTTAGACTAGATATTTTTGGTTTGCAAACCATTAACAAGCCTTAATTACTGTAGATCATTATATATGTAAAATAATGAAACCAAGGGAAAACATTTGACCATACTGATTTTTCTTTCATATCAAAAAGGTTCCATGCTATCGTTACATTCTAACAATCATGAGCCATTTTTAAAACTATAAACATTACTCTATATTATATTTGAAAAGTATACAAAATGCACCTTTGTTAGTCACACGTTATAATCACCCCACATCAGGAACTTCTAAGAACAGTAGTCTTGTTGGTTGCAGATAAAGTATTTCTCTTTAAAACAAATTAGGTTCAGTAACCCTTTCACTGCCATGGGAAAAAAATATATGTATCCCTCTAGAACACTACTTTAAGAAGCATGGTATTAAGTAAATGTTCTGAAAAAATGGCAAGTACTAATATCAATAGTTTTATAATTCATTAAAAACCATAAATATTTTGGAAATGTGTGAATAATTATGTTACTAAATATTTCTTATAGTCTAAGAATATTAACTTGTGAAATATTCTAGACAATTATTTGTAAACAAATTTCATACTGATATGACAGGTAATTATACAACATCACGTGTTTCTGTTTGTATCAAAAATAACCCTGGTACAGAGAGAGCTGGCAGTGAAACAGTTAGAAGAACGTGGGAGAAAAATTAGGGTTTCTAAGAATATTTATGTCTAGAATTCTGCAAAGAATAATTATACAGTACAGTGAAGCATTTTTCTTGTTCTCCCCCCAAATAAAACAGAAATGGAAACTGGGGAATTGTAAAGTTTGATCATGTATTTTTATGACTTCATAATTCATAAATTTTATTTTACATAAGTAAATAAGATATTTCACCTGATGTAGAATGGTTTAATCTAGCTGAGAAGAGTGAAATTAAATTTTTTAAAGTTGAACATCAACATAATTACCAATGTATGGTTAACTGAAAAGAGATAACTTTACTGCAAAATGAATCACTTCAGAAAACTTTTAGGCTAATCCTCTTTGTTTTTTTTATTTATCAGCATACTCAAAAACAAACCTTATGCTGCATGAGAAAAAGTGGAGAATTTTAAACTTTCTTCTGTACTTACATTCACAGGACTGTCCATCCTTGGCAATCTTTCCATGAGCACATGCACACGTACGTTTGCCATTTCCTTTATATAAACACAACTCCTGACAGCCTCCATTGTTAACTTGGCACTTGTTTGACACTAAAGACATAAAAAGGTGCACACGATCAGATGAATCTAATTATTACAAACAACAAAAAGGTTATTCTTACTCAAATCCAAAAAAATAGGGTTTTCAAACATCCAGGTGACAAACAAAACTATTTCTATTCCAAAGTTGGGTTACTGTTGAAATATACCTTTAATCAGTATGTAGTTTTTGACAACCTCTACCAGTTAACATACAAACAAAATTTTAAGGTGGAGCACGTATTATGAGACCTAAAACTACTAATACAGGCCAAAGTTTCTGAGATGGAATAAGCTTCATAACCCTTTGAACAATTAACGTAGTCACAAATTTTAATATAATACAAATATTGTGACATTAAAACAATTAAGATAGCCACAAATGTGAAAACTCAAGCCCTATCAATACAGACTTAAGCTTTAAGGTGATACAATAACAACAGAAATTTAATGAAACAAAAAGTGTAATAACACCAGCAAATCTTGTTAAACCTCTGCAAAATTATATACCAACAAGACTTTGTAAGAAATAAGATTGATAACCTAGACTGACTTCTAGGATTAAATATCTAACCTATATAAAAGCCAATGTGTGTCACATCACGCTTGATTTCTTGAAATGGGAGGAGTCACAAAAGCCAAAATGCATTTATCCAGATAGAATAGTTCAATTACTGTCTGCCCATTAAGATTTTAGTGACAGGGATGCAAGGGGGCCATGAGGGTGCGTGTGTCGTGAAACTTTATAAACATAGTGAGTGTTGGGATCACCTAGCCTAGAGTCAAGTGTATAAAATTTATCATGAAAGTAAAAATATCGATTCAATTTTAAACTTAAATCATTTCTGAAATAAACTATTTGCTGTTAGAGCACTAATGTTTTTAATCAAAAAACTTCTTTAATCAATGAAGGCTCTAAGTTAAGAAATCAACATATATTTTTCCAGTTTTGGTGTCTATAAATTTCATTTTATACTTTCAGTACATAGACTAACAACAATATTAGGTTATACATAAAAGCCACTGTTGGAATGTAGTGTTACCAAAATGCACTGGCTTTTCAAAATATCAGAAGTTGTTAACCTAACCGATTTTTACAAATAATTGTTCTATAAATATGCCACAAATTCATTTCATGAATGATCTTCATTTTGTTTGGCTCGCAAAGGAAGTTACTGATGTTTGATTGCTTCGACTGCACTTTTCTGCTTCTTTGTTGGTCAAGCTTGATTTCGCAAGATTTATTTATTTGAGTTAGCTATGAAATGTGAGATTAGGGTATGCTATAGGGTGGGAATGGTAGTACTTGCCACATCCTTTTTGACAGGCTATATGCTAATCCTCTTATAAAATCTAGATTGTTTGATAAAGACACAAAACCAAGATAAATCAATACTCAATGAGAATGAATTGTTTTGGATATAAATATATAAAAAAATAATGGTTGAATATTAGTTATTGATAAGTTGTAGACATGTTTAGAATATGGAACTACCTCCTAGCTTTCTCTGGTGGAATACCTGAAGACCATTCAAAGAATTCCCAAGATTGTTCCTCATGGAAATAATTGATTCATTGGAATCCTTCTTTGTTCGCATTATGGAACCCTTTCCTCTGTTAATATAAACAAAATTTTTTATGAACACTGACTCTGTACCAAGAACAGTCAAATTTCATTACAGAAAGTCCATATTGTAAAGTATAAATCTTGACCTATACATTTCTACTATATTATTTCCAATAACACCTGAGGAATTATTTAGAAATTCAAATATTATATTATTGCAATATAGACTGATTGGTCACTTTAGTAAAATTTCCACACACACACCACAAATGCAGCTGTACTGAATTTTAAATAGAAAACTTCTCACACACAACTTGTTAAAAATCAATTTTGCTAAGAACTCAAGAGCAAATGAAAGAACAATGTTTGTTTTCAAAAAGTGTTATAATTTTACCAAATTTGGAAATAAATACAAATTATGAAATACTTCATGCATTAACAGAAAGAAAAATTCATTTTACACTAACTTTGACATGGATCAAAAGTCTTTGCGACTTTACAGTCACCTTTAATGTTAATAACAAGCATGCATGCTTAGATACTGACATATTTTTCATTAATATTTTAATTAAAATATCATAATTTCTTAACAGAAACACACTTTTATCTGACATCACAAAAGTAAAACCTCATTTACATTGTCAAAGAAGTTGCTTCAGTATTCACTAACCTTTGAATTACATTATTCAGGCAATCATGCCAAACCACTGTATGAATTACTATAGCAAATATACTATAGTAATTTATGAAGAAAAACACTGACAAATGTTTTATTTTAAGATTCAACAGCTTTAAAAAATTTTTAATTGTTAAAACAACTTTATTATGGTTAATTCTATGCAAAACAAAGAGTAAAAAAAAACAGCAATATTGAGTAATTTATGAAGAAAAACACTGACAGAAGTTTTATTTTAAGATTCAACAGCTTTAGAAAATTTTAATTGTTAAAACAACTTTATTATAGTTAATTCTATGCAAAACAAAGAGTAAAAAAAACTAATAATTATTTTCTCATGAATTTTCAAAACAAATCTGTTTAAAGTATTTCTATGTGATCTTATAACTTTCTTAAACTTTCATACATACTGAAGGAGAAAGTGATTAACCTTTGACAGCAATAGTATAGTTACGAAACAAATGTTAAATGCATTTGTGTTGTTTATATCAGCATTTATCACCTTGCCTTCTGCAAATGAATAAATACTGAAAATACACTAAGTATAAAGCTATAACTAGTTTTGAAAAAGGTAACACAATTTTACAGAATGTTTAAAATTCATAAGTTGGAAAACATGTACTAACTGGCAAGAATAAATTAAATAAGCCTATGTTTTAAGTAACAAAACTGGGCTGTTTTGGCTTTATTTGTCATAACTTAAGCAAAAAGAACATCACAATACACAGAAAATACTGGTGATACACAGGTCTTTTTAATCAAGGACATTCCATTTTTGGTAAAATACAGATTAAAGATTATCACGTGATCTAACTGGTATTTATTGACACTTGTAAGTTATGCAGCAGGAGTCTGTTTACATAAAACAATTTCTTACTAAGTAAGGATTAAAGGCAAGTGAAAGTGGAGTTAGAATATGTTTTGTTTAACAGTCTATATAAAAAATAAACCAATTCTAAAGCCAAATTATAACAATACTAGCAGCATTGCATAATGTTGCAAAGGTTTTTGAAAAAAAAGACCTACTCTCTCTGTTTCCCCATTCAATATTTTGATAAGTAAAAAAATATTATATAAATTTATGAAAAAATGCAAAAACAAACCAACTTATGTTTGATTTTTGAAAATAAACTACAAATCTGTTTTAAATCAAGGCTTCCTTATGAATGATGTTTTTTGTTTTTCCTTCACTGACAAGAATAAATAGGCCCTTATTGTTCCCCACTCTTGAGCATCCAACATAGAGTTGTCCATGTGAGAAACAGGGTGACGTCAATTCAAGCCCCACTACTTTCAGAGACTGGCCCTGTGCTCCTCGATTGACATCACAGGGCTTAATATAATTGGGAACTGCAAGCTTTTTAACTCAAAGGGGAGATCAGTTGGAATTAATAAGATACATGGGATAAAAACATGTTCCCAGTAATAATTATATTTTATAGGCTAGGCCTACTGTTTGGTTTTTCACACACAACATTCTAATTGTGCACACATTTCTTTTCTGTGTGAGGTTAAATATATGATGTATTAGTAGATATATAATTCATAATCTATAACTAAATAAACCAATCTATTCCAATGCTACTAAAAAAAAAATTTCCAGGTTCAACCCATCTTCTACCTCATGCAAGCACTCTACCAGTTATGCTGACTTGACTTTAATTTCATTGAACCCAATAAGTATTATAATTTAAACCTTACACTTTTCTCATAGTTTCTTTTATGGTAAACAGCATAATTGTATTTTATAAGCTAGGCCTACTGTTTACTATTTCACACACGACATTCTAATTCTGCATTCATTTCTTTTCTGTGTGAGGTTAAATATATGATGTATTAGTAGATCTATAATTAATGATCTATAACTAAACAGGCCTATCTATTCTAATGCTATATTCTAAAGTAAATGTTAACTCAAATTTTCCAAAAAATGTCAAGTGTGCGTAGAATCACAACAATGTCAAACATATTAATAATAAAATTACTGGTTAGGCTAGCAATCGATAGACGTGTACATCAACAGAAAATTGTTGTTTTGCACCTTCACATGAGGGAAGTGTGTCCTGCAAAGTGAAAGCAGTGGACAAATAAGCAAATAAACAAACAGAGATTTTGAGTTTTATATATATAGATTATTTGGTTCCTTAAACTTACATGTCTGTCCAGTACAAGTAGCTTCCATATACTGTTATGTCCAGAGCATTTTTCAGCACCTGACCATGGAGAACAACTTCTCTTTTAGTTCCATCTAGGTTAATACGTTCAATGGTGTCAGTATGGGAGTCACACCAGTATAGTTTGGCTTTCTCAAGGTCTAGGGCCAAGTCAACAACCATCTGTAAAGAGGTATTGACAAGCACTGTTCTTTCAGTACCATCCAGGTTGGCTCGTTCAATCCTTGGAAGAAATCCCCAATCACTCCAGAACAAATATCTGAAAAAATTTTAATTACTCAAATTTATCTAAAATTTTATAAACTCAAGTACTTAAATATCACCCAGTTTGGACAAAATTTGGATTAAACACTTTTTATTCAATTTATAAAAGAAATTTAGAGGAAAATTCTTCTAAATATATTAAAAAGAATGAATAATTATGAGTAAAAATTTTAATACCAAATGACTTAAGAAAAGAACTGTTATTATTCACATCAGATGAATAAACAAATACTTTTTGACATAGTGCACTTACACAGACAAAAACAATGACAAAAGCACTATTAAATATTAAAAATTGGATAGGGAAAAAAAACCACAAAAAATTACCTTTCACTACCATTAATGTAGGGCCATCAGGTACTTAATGATGCCACGTTAACAGTGCTGGAATGGTATTTTATTGTAGATTTTTCCTATTCCATTTTAGCAATTTTTAAAGTATGTGCAATACCTCCAATATTTATATTAAAAAAATAATAATGTCAAATTTACTTCAGGTTTCTATACACCCAGAATATGATTTAATACCAAAGGATGGGATAACCATTTCTTTTGTCTGTTATATAATACAGCATTATCATAATTTGGGTATAACAGTGAAAGTGTCATCCACATAATGTGTGTAGAAATATGGTTTTTATTCTACTTTGTTGAACACTTTGTTTTCAAAGTCATCCATGAAAATGTCACAGATAAAAGGTGATAGAGGACTTCCCATGCCAAGTCCTTGATTCTCTTGATAATGTTCATTGTTGAACAACAAAATAGGAGTTGTTGAAACAATCTTAGCAGGGTAGTGCTATCTTCTTTTTCGATTGAGGTGCACATGTCAAGTTTTTTTTGATAAAACATCTAGAGCAACAGTTACTGAACTTTGTGAAATAATACTAAAACACACTGAAGGCAACTAAATTCACATTGCATAACATATACTATTACGAAAACAAAACAGAAAAGGGAAAGCCTTACCCTTTCAAGGGATTAACTACAATAACTCTGGGCTTGTCAAGGTTTTCATATATTAGCACATAACGATTGCTACCATTAACACGAGCCACTTCGATAACATCATAGGACATATCTATCCAATAGATATTTCCTGAAAAAAATAGGAAAACTACATCAAATATCATTTGCAATATCCTTAGTTTTACAAGACATAACAGAAATGAATTCAAATGATTAAACTGCTAGTAATAATAATCTATATCAGTGTCAGTCAATAACCACAATGCTACAACAAATACTATCACCAAAAATGTTTAATAGGAACACTGATATTTAGTCTAACTTTAAGTCAGTGGCTCTGGGGTAGCTACATATTTTCTATCTGATACACTTGTATAGACAGTTGAGTTTGGCATTTCCATGTATAAAAATTATGCCAGAGCCACTGACTTAAAGTTAGAGTAAATGCTCAACTCAGTCATCTATTAACCAATTATTTAGAGCTTTGACAGTCAACAACATGGTAGCTAGGTTTGACATGACCATCAGAATCTATTTAATAGAACTTGGCACACAAATTGTATAAACATGTACACTGCTGTTGAAAAAAAATCAATTTTTGATCCAATATTTATATCTAATCTTTGTCTAGTTTTTGTAAATTCAAATATCTTTTATCCATCCATTAAATATACCAATAATCCTTCTAAATGTATACAGAACTAGTTCTATTACTATAAATACTAAGTCTTTCTGATTCTTGTCTGAACATAAGACACTGATATACTAAGTGCTGTAATTTATGAAAGAAATCAGTGAAGTTCAAATCAAATAACTAATGGTATATCTGTTGTTTGTAATAAAGAAGTTTGTCATTTTCTATTCTTACTGTTAAAAAACATGACAAGAAAAAAGTGGAATGATACTATTTTTGTTTTCAGTATTAGATTGCATTTGTCAACTCGTATATAACTTTTCTTGTAAGTAATCTTATATTTCTTTGTAAATGCACACGTGAAATTCCAATACTGTGTATCAAACAAACTGTCAAAGTAGAATGAGCAATAAAAAAATTCTGAGCACACAAGAATTTAAGTATAGATACAACCATGTGACTCAGGATCCTAATAATCAAGACAGTTCTAAACTGAATAAAACATGAGAATTCAAGAAAAACAAAACATAACCAACCACATAGATTTTTGTATCTGTATTATCAGTAACAGTGCATTAGTACCAAGTTTAAATCATAGATGTGTAATGATTCAATCATAACTAAATTCTACAAGATAGCATTCAATTCAATATTCTTGAAACATTTTCCATCACAATTAAAAGTGATAGTCTTCTGTATTAAGTTGGGTTTCTTTAACATTCCAAGGAATTCTTTCATTTTCAGCCTAACAAGTCATTGTGTTTTGATACTTAACTATGAAGATCTCTGGAGGTGGATCTGAAATATCAAAGACTACATATCAATCTTGCCTGTGAATAAAACTGTTTACAAATTTTTCAAAGTTCATTTTACACTTGAACCAATATTACCATATGTTTTAACTACCGCACTGTTAGGTTTAATGCAAATTGTGTTAAGACTAACTTATAGCTTTCAAAACATTTTTCATACATCCATGCCTTTAATGTTTTATTTACACTGTACATATAAATCTAAATTTTATCATGATAATCCCACTATTTTCTTTAAATAATGATTAAAATAACAGCATAGATGATTCTTATACCTAAGGGATAATAAATAAGTTATACCACCATTTCTTGTTCATATTACTTATATCAGTAAAGACATTTTGAAATTGTTATATTTTGTATTGAATTTTACTTAACCTTATGGGGTAGTCATGTTACTAAAAAAATATCTGGTCACCACACTCACTTATATATCATACATTAAATTTGTTTGTGCCATTAAACTCCAGCCAACCATTCAATTTGTGGTGACACTACATTTAAAGCAAACTAACACTATATTAAAGTTTCATTGTAAGTACAAATGCTAACAGTTTGTCAAAGAGGGCTAAATCATACAAATAAGTTCACAAGGCTGTAATAGACTGAAAATCAACTAACAACATCTCACTTAGGCTCTAAGGTGGAGTCTTAACACTTAAACTAAATGTAATGTGTTTTTTTGTTTGTAGTTAAGCACAAAGCTACACAATTGGCTATCTGTGCTGTGCTCACTATAGGTATTAAAACCCAGTTTTTAACATTATAAGCCTTTAGATTTCCCACTGAGCCAATGGGGGATGAAATGTGATGTGAAAATATAACATGAAACAAGAAGGAATCCTCAATAACTGCAGCACTTGAAATTCTTTTAGGCAGGATTAGAGCAAATTTATCTACAAGACCTTTTTTTCATTTTTATTAGCTATATTTTTGTGTGCCAGCAATGCCAAGCGTATACCTGATTCGATTTTATTACTCATTGGGATCTCTACCAGCCTACCTTCAAATTGAAATTCTTTTAGGCAGGATTAGAGTAAATTGATCTATGAGACCTTGGGCATGGTCAAATACATCAATTGAAACTGCAATTAGATCTCAAATTGGTCAAGAGATGACAGAGCTGTGAGTTTGTAATTGAAAAAACACAAAAAACTCAGAGCCATTCTATGAGAAGCTATGCCACAGCTAAAAATAAACAGCCTGATGAGTTACACACATACACTTTATTATGTTTCAAACATGTATTATACTTTTTGTAGATTACTTGTTTGACACTTGTTAGTCTTCTTCTCAGCCTAAGCAAGGAATAGTAACCGGCTGTGTAACAGAATAACCAACAAAGTTCAAAATAATACACTAATTCACAGGAGAAAAATGTCAGTAATATCACAGGTTGGAAGCAAATATTCACATACAATTCCGAGTTAAACATTTTATAATAAAAGTTGAGGTTTTAAATTTTCTCATTTTACTTTCAAAATATTCCATAAAAGAGTTATATATGCATTTTTAAATAGTGTTTGATATCAAAACAACTGAAATACAATAAGATATAGTTATTTGTTGAATTTTGTCATACTATAATATCTTAATATGTTACATATAGTCTGATATAACATTACATTATTGATCAACAAGTAGCACACTGAATTTTATCACCTTTAATACACTATTATTACGTTAAATGTAGTCCATTGTAGCAATACATTACCGATCACAAAGTAGCACAGTTAGATATCTGTTCATTAGAATTCTTTCACATGTCCTTGATGATAGTGTTTTAATAAAGTTAACTGGTTGTCTAACAGCTCTAGACAGTTGATTAATAGGTAACAAGATCTAACATTATGTCAGTGATTGTATAGCAATTTTTACAGTAATGTTAAAATGTACTTTCCTGATTAATGTCTGACTCAGCTCTACAATTCTTATTAGCTAAATAAACTTTGATATTAGGTATCTGAGCTAGCCATATTTTTATGGTTATTATAGATTGAGTAAGTTACAACAGTCACTCAGCTGTGTTATCACAGTTACACAAGCCACCTATGACAAACAAACAAGCTACAACAGTCACCCTGCTGTGTTACAAAATAAACAAAGCTACAAAAGTCACCCAGCTTTCTTACTAATCAAAGCTACACTAATCATTCATTTCTTACCAAACAAACAAAGCTACAGACACCCATCTGTGTTACCAAATAAACAAAGCTACAACAGTACCCGGCTGTGTTAGCAAACTAATAAAACTACATCAGTCCCCAGATGTGTTACCAAAAAACAACTACTCTTTTCACCCAGATGTGTTACAAAACTAACAAACTCCACCATTCATCCAACTGTGTTACAAAACTAACAAACTCCACCATTCATCCAACTGTTATTAAACATACAAAGCCAGTAATCCAGCTGTGTTACAAAACTAACAAACTCCACCACTCATCCAACTGTGTTACAAAACTAACAAACTCCACCATTCATCCAACTGTGTTATTAAACAAACAAAGCCAGTAATCCAGCTGTGTTACAAAACTAACAAACTCCACCATTCATCCAACTGTGTTACTAAACAAACAAAGCCAGTAATCCAGCTGTGGTATCAAATTAATAATGTTAATCTTGACAACAGAATATGCAAGTTAACAAAATAAGTGAACCTAAACTAAGAATCCAGATTTGACATTTAATAAATAAAATAAACCTAGATGAGCCAGTTATCACAACTAAAACAAAATTTATTTGCATCTAAGCTGCAAATATTATAAGTTAGACAAGCACATCTACCTGCAATCCAATCTACTGCCAATCCTGCTGCTATACCAGCAACAGAGTCAATTCCATGAACCACTGTTTGTCTCCCTGTTAAATCTCGCTTTATTCGGCTGATACTCCCAGCTTCACTGTCAACCCAATAGATATGTTCCATATCTAGAAGAAACAAATAGCAGATGTCATAATCCAACTCTAGCAACACCGAATAAACATGATGCATGCTTGTTTAAAGCATCAGCATTCTTGTTTGACACTGGTACATCTTAATTAATTAAAAGAATTATTAAATACCATGAAAATATATGTATACATACACCAAAAAACAAAACGAAAACAGCCATAAACAACTTTGCAAGACAGCTCTCTCAAGTTACTGTTTTTTACAGCTTTACCCACATCTCTTGAAAATAATTTACAATATCATATTTTAAAACTAATATAAATAGATAGTATTTGTCTTGCTTGAAGATGACATATTAGGGTGTCCCAAAAAACACTTTCTTTTTAAATGCCCTTATTTTTGGGCCTAATGCCATAATGTCAATTGTAACTAAAATATTAAGATCAAAATTGGCATAATTGAAGAAAAACTATTGCCATTTATCAATGGCCTTTTAATTCAAGAAAAAAAACAATTTGTAATATTTTTTTAGCCTTTTTCAGATTTACTTTTTAAAGTCAAAATTTGATTAAAAGACATGTGAGGGCTCAAAATTTTAATTATGCACTAAATAATGTTATCTAACTTTAATTAATGTTAAAGTTTGCTGTGATGTGTCTTTAAAATATACCTATTTCTTGTCTTTTTAAAGAATTTGTAAATTATTTTCTAGATAAGTTTTGTTGAATACAGTAATCCCTCGAAAACTCAGAACATATGGGGCTAAAGCCATGCTGAGTTTTAAACATTTCTGAGTTATTGAGGTAATTTCCTCCCACCCCCAAATCACAACTTGTTGGGCACAAATAAACTACTATACACTACTGTTGTTTGAAAATAAATTAAATTAAAAAACATTAAAACTAACACTTAACAGCATTGCAGGCCAAAAAAAGATGATGATTCAAGCTTATAGTTTTTGATGCAACAAACTGGAAAAAAATTATTATTTTCAAGCTATGTATGCAAAAAATAAGCAACAAATGCATATGCAAATCATAGATTTCCACCATGTTTAATATGTTGACAAGTTATATTTATTTAAGTGAGATGTTTATATTTCTACTCCCCCAAAAATTACAACTGAGGAGACAAAAATCAAACTTAGGATAAGTAGCTTGGATTTTTTTTATTAGTTTATTGAAAACAAAATTTTGAATCTCAACTTCAGTTATAGTTTTATTGTGTCAGTGAGTGGAAGGGGAGAGAGAGTTAAGGCAATTTTTTAAAATCTTAGTAATATAACTTGCTCTCATAAAAACTACAAGATACCAAGCTGGAAAGGTTTAGACAGATTATGCAGGCCTGCAATGGTTTTATTGTGTCAGTGAGTGGAAGGGGAGAGAGAGTTAAGGCAATTTTTTTAAAATCTTAGTAATATAACTTGCTCTCATAAAAAACTACAAGATACCAAGCTGGAAAGGTTTAGACAGATTATGCAGGCCTGCAATGGTTTTATTGTCTTGAAATTTTTACATGTTCTACAGTAATTCCTGTATGCTGAATCTGAAAATGATATCCATTTTTCTCCATCAAGTACAGATATTTCACAAAATGTCATAATGCAATACTTAAAAGAAAGACCAAAATACATAGTTTCGAGACTAAAAAACGAAGCTTTCACAAAAAATCAGGATGAATGAGGATGCATGTTTGTTTGACATCAATGTTCTTCCCTTTTCTTCAGTATGTTTGTGTTTTGTTAACAAACATAATAATAAGAAATGTTAATTGTAGTAAAAAAAATAATAATTTGATCCGAGTTGTTTTTTCTTAGCGATTTGTAAAAAATCTTTATGTGATAAAAAAAATTATTTTTCAAATCTGCATAGCTGAATTATAGAAAATCCATTGTTTGCATTTTAAGTCCCATATCTTTCTGTGGTGTAATTACTTGCTTGTAATAATAGGTTCCACCCTCTTTTCAAATTTTTAAGGTAATTTAAAGAAACAAGTCAATTTGTGAATTTGTTGTTTAAATGATATTCCCCATGTTGTTATATATCCCTAACAAAATGAGCATACAAATGCTAAAATGCATATGTTTAATACAATATTTGTTGGGAAAGTATTTAAAAATAAACATATATTTTGTATTCTCTCTTTTTTAAATAACAAGTAATTTTATGATAATTCAGTAGTTTTTCCAACAGTACCTGTAAGTCCATATACATTTTGTCTTAAAGATTATTGAAGAATTTTAATTCTTTCTTTTTAATGTCTGTGTTATTCTACTTCAGATAGAAAAAAAATGTGTTAAGTAACAGTAAGCTTAGAATTTAATTTTTACGTGTAATGCAAATGTCAAAACACTGATTTTATAAATCTTCAATCTTAAATTTTTAAACATTTTGTATAAATAATTTATATATTTATTATATTTTTCAAAGTTTAAAACAATTTCAGTTGATGCACTTAAAGAGATTTAATGCTGACAAGAGGAAAATGAGCAAGTAAAAGTTAAAAAAAAAAAAGAATGATTTACAGCATAATGAACACTCACATTTCATTATTTCTATACTCAAAATTCTAGGTCATCTTTACATATACAAAATATATTAAACTAACTACTTAGAAGTAAGGTCAATTGTTTTGTTTATTTGTAGGATGGAGTCAGAAGCCAAAGTAACCTCAACCTGAGTCTTTTCATATGCTATAATTACAAGTTTCTAAAGATTCAGGATGCCAAGTTAATTTTTCAAAAACTTATCTCAGAGATATAAAGGAAATACATCATTCACCCTAGAATTAGAAAATTTTTCATCAGAGACCATACAACTGCCTATGTATTTTGTAAATAGAATTCAAATCACATACCTGAATGTATGACTTTGCTAAAGAATATATTTATCAAAGTATTTAAATAATAATTTTTCTAGACCAACATTTTGTGTCTTACAGTTTTTCTCTTTATTAAAAAATTATCAAACAGTCTATTGTATAGAGATGAAAAATCTTCAGTTAAAAGATAAAAAAGCAAATTTTACAACTAAAATGTTTATCTTTCAATTATAAAATTTATTCCCTCAGATGCAGTTTTGAGAGCCAAGTATTAGTATTCATACAAATGATTACAATTGCACAACCTTGAAATCAAAACTTAATGTAAAGAAAGATAAATAAATTAGCTACAAACAAAACTATTCACATATTAGACTGTATTCCTGATTTATTTCTAAATCTTTGGAAAATTGAAGTTTTTTCTTTCTGTTTTACATACTATTCTCTTACCAAAGTCAATGGCTGCAGCTACAGACACTTTTGGAATGGGAGTCAAAACTTCTATTTCTTCATTGTCTGGATCAAGGTCGGTACCTCTGATCTCCCAGTTTATAGAGTACAACAAAAACTTATCTGTATTCTCTTCAAAAGAAAAAAAAAACACCTATTAGAAACAAATATTTCAACAAATATTACAGTATTAAGTTTATGCACATTCAGGCAGGCATACAAAAATGCCCTCAATTTCCTTATCTTTCACTTCTCTTGCTGTTACTGCAAAAGTAGGATTATCATTCTTGACATACTGTACTCTTTAATTAAGTCATTTTTATGTTAATTTTGATATAAAATAATTTATTTAGAAATTAAACTAAATTGCTTTACTATTACAAGGATATGGTTATGTAATACAGATTAATAAGTAGGTTAACCCTATGTGCAAAAGATGGACCAATCCATGTTGAAGAGCCCCCCAGTGGAACAGCAGTATGTCTGCACACTTATAATATTAGAAACCTGGTTTCGATCCCCGTGGTGGGCAGGGCACAGATAGCCCATTGTGTAGCTTTGTGCTTAATTACAAACAAACAACCAATCCATGTTGAAGAATTAATATTTAATATAATTCCGAATTTAGTAATTGTATCTTTGTAAAATTTAGCAAGCTTCTAGTAAACATCAAACGTCCATTGTACACAAAAAAATCAGATTTTTAAAGAAAGTATTTTTAATAAAGAATTATCCATGAATTTATGAAGTCAGCCTGACTCAAACCCTAGTCTGAGTGCTAGGTTATTTTCACATAAAGAATAAAAATACCTTTTTTTCATCTTACAGTTTTCATATTTTATTTGCATAACTTTTAGAACCTCACTAACAAATACAAGTTTTTCTTCAGTAAAACTTTATACCTTATCTCTTATTTTCTCTACCCGAGCATTAACTATAGTGATATCATCTGTAGCAAAAGTAGAAAAATATAAAACCCAAAGTAAATTTTTTTTCTAGATGACTGCAGATTGTAATAGATAATTTCAATCATTTATCATAAAAGATATAGGCCTCTAACCATTTTACAAATGCTTTCATTTAAGTTTATTGCTTTATTGCTCTTTGAACCATGTCTAACTATGATAATAGTTTAACAAAGCAATAAATCACCAGACGAGAGAACAGCTCAAGTTATGATCAAATTTCATAATGTACAAGCAGTTTGTGTGAACACCTTGCACATAAATTTTTGTATTTAATTATTTATTTTCATTAAGTTTTCTTATATAACAAAATAAGTTACTAATTTTTTACATGTTAGTTACTTTGATAACAATATATAAAAAATACATAAAAACAAGAAATTTGGCACTTACACATGAGCTCTTGCAGTCAATCATTATTGTCTCATTGAAACTTAACACTATTTGAAAGTAGAACTCTTCATAGTATGTAAAATTATATTTTTAAAAATTCAAATATGCAAATTAGAACACAAAATATTAACATGCAATAACAAAAAAACACTGTTTTAAAACTATTATAATTTAACTGGCTTTTTAACTAAGCCATAAGTGTGCTAAAACAATTTCTTTAACATGTCGTGGTGATCTTGGTGATATCAACAATGAAATTGTAGGCCAATAATAAAATGTTGTCAGAAGAAGCTAGCCTTATACAGAAACCAGTCAATTAAAATTTTCTCTTTCTATTAGTTATAAATAATCCAATAGCAAATTTCAGAGAGAATTATTGACATTTTTTTGAAAGACAGGATGTGACAGCAGGGCATGTGGGTTTGATTTTCTGGTTTATAGCTCAGTAATGGAAGAAGACTGGAGGTTATAAGTTAATATCTTAGCAATATCAATACTTTAAAGTATGTAATTTAAGCCAAACTTGGGAGGCCAAATAGGGGTAGAAAGTAGATCAAATATGAACAAAGCAGAGCAAAGAAATATTACATATATATATATATATATATATATATATAG